CTATTTATATAATAAGATTATTCAAAAAATATTTATTGTACAGATTCGACTTAGAATTTTATTATATGTATGGTATAGATTGTAAATTATAATTTAATTTACAAAAAAGATAAAGTAATAATATTAGTCCCGCTGAGTTTCTTTCGCCAGGTCTTCTCAGGTCTGAGGCTTCTTCTATCTGAACTGGTAGTAGACTCATGACGTTCAGTAACAAAATGTATTAATTTATTGCTGGATAAAATATTTTTAATTTGAATATATAATTCATACATATATAAAAAGTACTTTTATAATGCATATATTTTAGTATATAGCCATTACTTTGTATTGAAATTCCAATTATATAGCTATATAATGTAATTGTACACAGAACTCTGTCTGGGCATGATTTGTTTACGCTTGACGGCGACGACATTGAATACACATTCTCTTAATGACACTCTGGCTTTGTCGATACTATATCTACCATAGTTTACTATGCTATAGTAGTCTCTTTCCAATCACAGTTTTAGTTTTTCTAGTTTTTTTTAGTTTTTCTTTTAAATTATAGTTTTATTTAGTGTAAAATAGTAAATTTTGCCTCCCATTTAGGTTTAGTGGCTAGCATGTGAGGGTTATGGGATTCTAGCCCCACACGACAGATTTTGATGAAATTTGGTATGATGATAGCTGGTTGTCCGGGTCAACATATAGAATACTTTTTACTGCGGGAAAATATCTCATCTCTGATAGAAATTTATACTAAACGTTAAAACGTAAAAGCAGAGCGAGGGTGAATCGCTAGTAATGCTATTAATAAAATGGAAGCATCTGAGGGAAGCAAGGGTCAGTCGCTAATAGGTTATATTTTATTTTGAATAAGAATTTTTTTATCTAAATATAAAAGAAGTCAATTTTCTTATAGTATTATTTGATCTATGTTTCGGACTATTGTGCTCTGTCTGAGCGTAAAATTGAATGAAAGTAATCTAAACGTATTCGTGGTTGGAAACCATGACTAATTCGATTTGCCTTAGTTTAATTGAGAAACACGTTAATAAGAAAACGTTTTATTTATATAACATTCGAAAGTCGAAGTAGTTGCCATTCGAAGAAGCTCAATTAAATGCTGCCTTTTAATAATATTTTTTGCTTGTTATTATTTCCATAGTAGGAATATAAGCTACTCTTTAACTAGTATGAAATACTAGCGATTTACCATCGATTTTTGTATTTAAAATATTATATTATACTAGCGACTCAGCCTTGCTTCGTTCGGGTTCGTCCCTAGTTTGATTCCCCATACAAACTTTCATCCCCATTTTTACCCCCTTAAGGGATAATTTCCGGGATGAAAACTATTCTATATCCTTCCCGGGGTCTTAAACTATCTTCTTACCAAATTGAATCTAAATCGGTTCAGTAGTTTCGGAGCCTATTCGATAAAAACAAACAAACAAATTTTTCCTCTTTATAATATTAGAATATTAGAATAGATAATCTTCCTCGATGAGACCATCAGCAGCTAACATGTACGCCCGCAGATCCGGAAATCCTGGGTTCGAGTCCCGGGTCAGGCCTATGTACATTTCGTGCAAAGAGTAAAGAACCGATTTTAACTAAATTTAGTGTATTGATAACTTATTACTCGGGTCAACATTTGGATACATTTTACTGCAGGAAAATGTTCATTCCCATGGGAAACAGTAACTGTCGAGCAATTTAGCTTTTGGCTAGCGCTGGCTAAAGCTTAAGAAATACATACATCAAAACAATGCACCAGAAAATTGTAACTAAAAGTACACTTGCAATAATTATTTTTATTTATATAAATTGTCCCTATCTAGTAAGTATCATTATACTCTAAGGGATGACCGAAAATAAAGCTTTCCAATCTAATTTTCCTGCAAGAATACAGTAAAAATAAAATATTTACAACATCCTAATAAAGAAATGTAGATAACAAAATCACTAGAAGCGACACATTTAATGTAGGGCAATGTTACTGTTAAAGTTGATTTCACGCCTGTCCGCCCTCACTCCTGCGACAGGTTGTATGTACATTGTAAAGTATTCGTGGAATACAGCAAAGCTGTATGAAGAATCTATATAATTCTACTGTTAATTTTAGTCCGTGATGTCATTAGTTTTACTTAAAAGCTTTTTAAGCGCTCAGTGGAAAACAGTCATACTTAATATTTCACTTAGAAAAGTGGTTGTTTCTTTGTGTGTTATTTCTTTCAATATACTAAGTATATTTATAAAAACCGGAGAAACTGTAAAATAAATTCATAAAATATTGCGTAGTATATTATATATGCTATGTAGTATATACATACATACGTCCCACAGCTGAGCACGGACCTTCATGCGAGGACAGGCCATAGGCATGCAAATTTCCCTACGATGTTTTGCTTCACCGTAACACAAGTGGTAATCATGTTAGAAATGACAATATCAGGTGAACATGAAAATATAAGGCGTTCAAACCGGGATTTGAATTCACTTCACTTGGTTTGCCAAGCAAGCGAGTTACTACTGGGCTACCACTGAAACTATGTATAATATTTATTATATCCATAATGCGATGTGAATTAAGCCATAGTCCACCATGCTGACATTGGTTTGACGAATTTCATTGATTACCTTCACGATAATTATAATTATAAGTAAGGCGTGGTCGGCTTCGAAATAACTGCCTTCTTGAATGTGTTAATCCATCCTCGACCGCGGACATACCGGCGTGTCAGTTAACAATAGATTTCTTAGAATTTTAATTAATTTCTTAGAAATTTACCTGGAGGTGTTAATACGCTTTTACCACATGTCTTATACAGTATTCGATTATAAACTTGCATGTGGAGAGGTATTCACATGATATAATAATTTTCACCCGGATAAAAACTAACAGTCTTAATATAGCAAAAGATAAATTAATAATTGATATTGCCATATTGAATTATAAATCTTATCATTTTAAAAAAATGTTTAGAATAAAAATGAACAAATATTGTAAGGTACTTTGGTGCTATTTTTGTAATTTTGAAATCATTTTGTTTTGTGGGTAGGCACTGTCTGTAACAAGTATACAAGGGTAATGACCTCTGAGACGTCTAAAACCTTAGTCTCTCCCGCGACCATGTGCGCTGTAAAGCATTCGAAACGTCGGGAACCAAAAATCTAAATAAATCCGCGAAAAAATCCGAAAAGATAGTTTTATTCAAAACTATGTACATATGTGTATTTTGTATATGTATGTTTGTAACTCTTTCATACTGAAATAGGTGGGTGAATTTTGAAGTACATAAATAGTATATACTATTTTTTTTAAATAATTTATTTCAGACAATATTTACAAAAGGATCTTAAATATGTAAACAAGGCCCATAACATATATACCTTAAAAATACTATGATTTACAATAATATATAAGCTCCTGTTGATAGTAAAATTTTCCAAAAGGTGGTTAAGGGCATCTAGGGCAGTATTCATGTGAAAATTATAAGTCTCTAGTGCTGATTGTAGGTAAATAAAGTTTTGGATAATAGCTTTTCATCAAGAGCAAGGAGTATACTGAACTCTAATGAGTCTGAGTTTTCGTTTTAATAGCAATAAAGTTATCCCACAGCCAAGTATCTTGCAGTATACAAATTGCTACTCGCTGCAAAATTTTGCACGGTTCAGTCAAGAGCATCGGCTAAATTAAACGTTTTTGGTAGTACTTTTAAGCCAAATTGCACAAGGTTGAAATATGAAATTGAACTTGAAATATTATATCATGAATAGTATGGTTTGAACAGCATTATATACTGTGAAAGAGTACGCGTGTTCGATTTCCTTACAAGATTTATCGCTTTAATTTAAATAAAAGTTAAATGCATATTTAAAAACATATAAAATACATAAGAATTATTTGGTAATATTATAATAGCACAAATAAAGAAATAATTTTCCCGCATTAGCATATAGATGGCTTTTATAGCGTGAATCTCCAAACGCAGTCCTGCAAGAATTGAGTTATTTTTCATTTCTATAACAACTGAACTCGTTATGAAACCTGAATCAAAAAATTATACAGAGTTTTTATAGTCTTACATTTTTTAAAGAAATACTGTAAAGTTGTAAAAGGAAAATTGATAATCACAAAGTAGTTTTAGAAACAATAAAAGTTATAAATAAATAGACAAATCGTCGTACATTTTGGTATACAAAATGTTTTGTAGCACTTTGTTGCAAAATTGGAGATATTTCCTTTATAAAATTATGAACACAACAGATGGCGAGGTTTGCTTCCGAAGTTAGCCTTTGTAATTGTTTTTGCTCTATAAATAGGAACGCTCAAAATCAAAAAATATGATAAATAACTTACATTTAAACGTAGAATAGTTTATTTTAGCTAACTCGAGCTTTTTTGTCTACAATTTTTCCACTTTGTAAGTTTTTGTTAGATAGCACTTGTCATGACATCCAAAGTCCGACTTGTTTTATATTCTATTTTAAATTTTCAAGAAATATAAGATCTTATAAGATTTACAAGTAGTCTGATTTATGGCCTTATAAGATGAAGAAATATATTCTTCATCTTTTTCGTTAAGAAAGTGGTAAGTACTTTAAATATTCACAATTTCTATTTACATGAGGATACGTTGAAGGAGGAGGATATATAAATCAATATCTGGATGAGATCTTTACTAATAGTCAATGAATCTAGTCAAAAGCTACTAAGTATGTAGAGCTAAATTTTTCAATAAAAACAAAACTTTTTTTAAGTATTAAATATCACTAATTTAATATACAAAAATCACCATTTTACTATACAAATGAATAACTTTGTATCTCATAACGGTGAGTACTTTCACAGTCACTTTTAAACTAATTCTCCTCTTAGGGGTTGATTTTAATTAAAATTTTACCACCCTTAATGTATGTACATATATTGCCAATTAAAAAACTAATTAAAGCACCTGAATTAAACTGAAAAACCTTTGAAATAATACATACAATTGATGAAATAAAAATTAACATACCTCAGGGTTGACGACGGGCGGCATCACAATTTTCTTTTGCGGAGGCGATCTGAGCACCACATTTTCATCCCGAATGATTATTTGAGGTTCCATCGCAAGCAACTTCTTCTTGCACTCTTGCATTTGCAGACATTCCTTGTCCTTTTTCGATAAAACCGACTCCGAAGATGCATGTTTCGAAGTATTTTTACTTGACAATTTCAAACTGTCTATTGACGCAGTCATTTTACCACTTTCTTTTCCGTTCGATGACGCCATATTGATTTTTTGGGCTTACGTTCACAGGGTTATATTTTAGGTCATGTTTTGTTTTCCATATACACTAGTGTCGTATTTTTTTTAGAAATTTATGTATTTTTTGTTTTTGCACGTCATTTATATTTTCGGACTTAAAACTTTATAAAATAGTATGAGGATTTTAGAAAAGTTTTGATAGAACGTTTCATTGTTTACTTTAATCTTGTAAACAAAATTGAACACTGACCAGCTTGTGTGTTTCGTCTTGATAAATCATAGAGTAAATTTTATCGACATCTACTGCATTAAAATATTTGTTGAATATTTTTTTTTAATATGTGTGTTTTAAACCTTTTAAAGTTTAAACAATACAGAGAAGAGAATAGGTGGATAGAATGGAAGGTGAGACGTGGATTATACATTAGGGTGGCGCAAAAAAAAATCGACTATTTTTTTCGTGTCTCGTATGAAAATATGTTAGATTTTCTATGCTCGAAAAAAATATTTTTAAGGGTCACTCAAGTTTAAAAAAAATCTAAATATGGTGAAAACTGAAAATTCATTTTTTTTTCTCGCTGCTTTAAAATATTATTACCTAAAAAAATAGTAACTTTCTCAAAGTTACAGTTTAAAATATAAATTTGTAAAGGTCGCTCAGAACTTATGAACATTTTTAAGTTCATTGCTTTTGATGTCTTCTAGAGAATTTTTAAAAATCTTGAGCAACCCCTAAAATTTTTATATTCGAGCTGACCTTTAAAGAGGGCACATGAAAAACTAACATATTTTCATAAAATACACAAAAAAGTTAACAGTTTTTTTATTATTATTATTTAATAAATATTATGTATACTATTACAGGTATATTATATATATTATAATTTACTATTTTTTGAAAAATTGTTGTGAAATTTAATATTTTTTTCGTAGTAACTATTTTAATGTAAGACATACTTTAGAAAGATTGAAAAATGTTGATACAATAAATATTGCTTTTAAACAAGCACCGTAATGTAAACAGCTGTCAGATTATTATTAATCGGAATTGTGGCCGTGAATTCCATTATATTTTAAGGAATATCGTATTAAATATCGATAGCTAAGAGCCTAATATTTGAGAAATCGATTCGATTCATTTCGATAATTGGATGAATAAAAAATGTATTATTCATCTGATTTTTTTTATTTTCCTATAAAAATAATCTTAATTTATCGGGTTATATTTTTTTAAGAATACAATAGTATATATATGTATAAGATATTTTATTTGAGAACAAATATCATGACAAAGTAACAATAATAATCGGACGATTAATTATTTCTCATTCATCCGATTAATGGACGGATAGCCAATCTTTTAACACTTAAAAATGAATGCTCGGATTCGATTTCTTTACGGGTGAATGTTTGTCATAATTAAACAAAAAAGTGCTATTCTTAATCATAGAACGAGAGCTCAAAATATTATATTAATTCCGTAGCTTAAAACATTGAAATAATATTATGTTTTAAGTTATTAATTTTTGTTACATCAAACATGGTCACAGGAGAGACTTTTTAAACGGTTTTTGACATTTAAAAAGTCATAGTGGTGATAACTAAAACTTCTGATGGTCAAAAGATTATAAATTTACTTCGCTTTGTTACAACATACATTATCTTATTAGAGACGGCAGCAAAACAATTGGATTAATAGCTCTTACTTCTGTTTAGTCTACATAGTAATGTGCATGACTCGATTGAATTGTAATTGATGGAAAAAACACTGATTTGGTCGACCTTTAAAGCTATTTTTATGATTTTTTTATCCCTCATGTATTTTTTACCTCGCTCTCTGTTTCATTTTAGCCAATACTCTATGTAATATGCAAAAACACTCCAATACTGATCTACAAAGAAACTCTATATACCATACATACGAAATTAATGTACACTTTATAATATCTATACGAGTCACGTCCTTGTGGAATAGTGATAAGATTTATTCTTCATTTTTAAAACTGATGCTTCCTACAATTTATTGTACTCCGCGGTCACAGATTGTATTCTGCTAGTGTGTTATTTATATCATTTTATATATATATATATATATATATATATATATATATATATATATATATATATATATATATATATATGTATATATAGGTAATAGTTTCTTAGATTTATGCGAATATTTTATATATTAAATACAATTATCTTTTCGGATTACTTCGCAGATTTTCTTCATTTTTGGTTCCCGACGTTATTTTTGAAATAGTTTTGTAAAATAGTGGGAAGGCACTGTCTGTACCAAGTATATAATGCCTTTGAGATATCTAAAACATTAGTCTCTACCGTGACCATGATTGTTGTAAAGCATTCGAAACGTCGGGAACCAAAAATCAAAATAGATACGCGAAATAATCCGAAAAGATAGGTTTATTTAAAATTATCCTTTCACTATCAATGAAATATTGTTAATATTTAACAAGAATTTCCAATAATTGCGTTAAAAGATTGATGTACATATGTATTTACCATAAAACATGCCTTTAGTGATGTTATAATAGTTTAACATTGTAATTGTTCTTGTTCAAACAAAATTGGCAGAGGTACTAAAAAAATTGGTATAATAGTTGATTATGAGTCATTTTATGTTTACTTAAAAAATAGTTTTGTTTTTGTTATATTTCTGTAACATATGGAAGTAGAGTTGTTTTCGAGTTTAGATTAGCATTTATTTTGTTTCAGTAACATTTTTACGTTTGCATTTTTTTTTTTTTAGTTTATAGTCTGTGTATTGATATTTCAAAATAATAATTAAAATTTGACCGATTTTCATTTATACTAAGCTGTTTATATTAATTACATGTTATATTGGTGTTAATAAATAAAGTTCACATGAATTAAAAGTTAGAGTCGAAAAATATTTTTATATCATCTTAAATTGAATCCATTCTCATAAAACAGCTTTACTCTTGATAACCTAAATTTCGAATCAATAAGTCTCGTTGAGAACTCAATAACCCTTTCTTATTCTCAGATATATTTCATATTTTTCCCCAAAATCAATCAGAAAATTCACAAACTTCAACCAATGCTTAAAAATTTGCATTATTTACATGAACAATCTAAACAAGTACTGCAAATAAACCGAAACTAAACATCACGGTTAATTTAACACATCACATTCACAGAAATGTATGAAAATATACAATTTAGTGTCACTAATAATAATACAGTGTTTGTTGGCCGTCAATCGTAAGCAATTTTGGTCGGTATAGACGCGTATGGAGCGCTCGATGGCCGGCGTCGGACTGACGGCTTCACTCCAGGGAGACGCCCTCTGCTCCTGAAATCTTATTGTGGGCAAATAGCTGATAATATTAAATACGATATTTTACATGTAAACATTAGCTTATCACTAGATGTGTTTTGTGTGTGTTTATATATATAAGTATACGAGTGACTCACCCTCGCTCCGCTGGGTTTCGTCCCTAGTTACATTTTAATGTTTAGTATAGATTTCTCAGAGATGATATATTTTCTCGCGGTAAAAAGTATTATATTTGTTAACCCGGATAACCACCTATTATCATACCAAATTTCATCAAAATCTGTCCATCAGTTTTCTCGTGATGCGTTCCCAGACAGATAGGCAAACAAAAATTCTAAAAACTATAGATTCGGCCTCCGTATCGATAATAATGAGTATTTCAATAAGATTTCCCAAAAAATATTTAATGTACACATTCAAATCAGTTAGAATTGTATTATAATAGTATAGATTTATATTTTAGGTAAATAATAATTACTATTCTTTAACTCTAACTTGAGATGTGGACTTCAGCCTTATTCTTTGCTTAAAAACTGTACGAGATTATCCTTCTTATTTAAAGGAAAAGTCATGAAAATTAGTTCACAGTTGGTGAAGATGTCACACTATATAGTTTTAGTACCTCTTCCTTTTAAAAGTCGGTTTAAGCTTCCTTTGTCAGGTCTTTTCTGGTTTTGTCTTTGTAATGTAATATTTATTACTTTTGAGTTTTATTGTAATACTTTTACATTAAGTTTAACTAGAGTTAAACTCAAAATATATTTTAGAATATTTTGGAATAATTTTATAATATAGTAATTGCTAAACATACAATTTAAAATTATTCCAAAATACAAGGAATATGTATATAAACTATATATAAGTTAATTGTAATTTTGACGACATGTTTGGCTCTGTCGTTTTGCTCGTTTGCTGTGCCAGCTTTCGCGGGATCGAGTCCCGCTGGAGGCATTCATTTGTGTGATGAGCACGAATGTTTGTACTTCAGTCATGGATGTTACTGTTTATATTTATAATATGTATGTATTTATTTAAAAGTTATATATGTTTGTATGTGTACTGTATTAACTATCTGGTATCCATAACATAAGCCTCTTACAATGGAACTAGATGATGCTGTCTATTAATGTCCCAACATATTATTAAATAGGCAAAGGCAAAACAGTTCTAAACGTTTTTCTCCTCTGTTTGTTAACTGAATTCCTTCTTTTAATAAATGAATAAAAAAATGACGGTCGAATTTCGACCACTGAGCGAAAATTACTATGTATAGACTAGCGGCTCGCCCTCGCTTCGCTCGGGTTCGTCGCTAGGTACGTTTTAAATAGATATAAATAGTTATTAGCCAGCTTTAGTCATATAAAAATTTTTTTCCGTTAATTTTTCATTTTTTCTGTTTATTAAAACCTTCCGTGGACCTTAAAGAACATACGAAAAAAAATTTAGCTGAATTGGTCCAGCCATTCTTGAGTTATGCGCTTACCAAAATTCATTTTTATTTATATAGATAGATGTCATTGTGACCATAAGTTCGATGCCCGTGCTAAGCAGTTTAAATAAATCATAAGCGTAATATTATGTACATTATGTTTTCTTATTCCGTATTACACAATTAATAATTAAAATCTCTTCGATATACATAATATTATCTTTTAATAGAATATAATCGATTTTTAATTAACTCTTCTATATAGGACAAGCT